GACCCGCTTTCCAGCAGGTGACACTCCCCACTAATAGATGGAGCCTCTCCCCAGGTGCAAATGGTGTGTGCTCTTATCAGCACAACTAACACTGGTGGTGGAGTGTGTTTAAAAAAAAAAAAAAAAAAAAAAAAAAAACCTCCTGATCCGTTCAAAATGTTGGTATTTTGCAAGTGGTGGGGGAAAGTCATTCATGTACAAAGGTGTCATTGATGCTCACAGGTTTTAGTTTTACGGATTCCTGAAACTTCTGCAGAGGTCCCTCTTTGGAGAAACTTTATATTAGCCGCAACGAAAAAAATTCCCAAAATTAAATAATCATTTTATAGTAAAATTACATTCTAAATTTTAAATTTTCATTCCATCTTAAAAAATGTTATTCCAATTTTAAAATTTTTCATCTTACTTGTAAACTTTCATTCCAAGAATGGGGTATCCCTTCTTATTTGGACTGCATGCTAAAGATGGAATGGAAGTCTGGATGAGTTGAACTTCATGAAATATTTTAATTGGACTATCATTCTAAGTAAGGATTTTCAATCATAAATAGGTTAATCCAATCTAAATTAGAAGATATTTGTTGTTACAGTAGTAGAATGAAAATTTAATTAAAGTTTTTCATAAACTCGTCCAGACTCTCATTCCATCTTGAACAAATAGATGCAGTTGGAAGGAAAAAGTCATATTTAGACGATAACTTATCAAATAAAACTGAAAATTTTAGAATTTGACGAACATTGGAATGTTAATTTATAAATATGAAGGATTTTTTTTTTATGGAATGTTTTGCCAACTTTCATTTCTCGTGGGAATTTTTCTGTTGGCTGCCTATTTCAGTTTGTAGAGTCCTGGGAAGCCCTGTTATCTCAAAAAAGGAGGGAAATGGGGGGAAGCTAGAATTGGAGGCTGGAAGGTAGTAAGGGGGCTCTCAACAGAGGAAGGTTGTTTGTTAAGGTAAGTAGGTTAGAAGGACGATGCTGGGACGACACAGGCTAGTGCTGGAGCTTTTGCTCTGTGACCTAGGGGAGCTTGAGGCCTGTGGAGTTATGCCGAGGGTGGAAGGCATAACCAGACCGCCCGACGTCGTCGGCGCCGGGGTATTGACCCTGTAACCTATTTAGGGGTTTGCCGCTAAGGGAACTGTCGAGGGAGGAAGGCACTTCCTGTTCGTCAGAACTAGGTTGGTCGATACGAGGGAGGGTTGTGGTGCCCTATTACCTTAGCAGAAGGGGGTATGAAATCAAGTGAGTTCTGGTACGAGGACTGAAAGCCTGGACCGACGTTCCGTCGATTGAGGGGGGGAGTTTAGGAAAGTAAGCAGTTTCATTCGACCCCTCGCTCTCATTTTTGTCCTAGCTTTTTTGTTTTTTTCAATTTTACTCTTAAAAAAAAATGTTGGCCGTTTGGTGGTCCTTAGAATGTCTTGAGGACTTTGGGATTCTTATCAACTCATCCTTGGTGGCTTCGAAGTCTGTTATACTTAGTGATCTGCGGCTGTTTGATGCCAGAACAACGCTGGCCGGTGCTGGGGTGTTGCCGTGTAACCTGCTGATGCAGGAGCGTGAGGCCTGGTAGAGAGATCTGGAGATGCTTTGGGGTGGCCATTCCATGGGACAACCAAGGGTTGTTGCCAGGACGACGCTGGTCGGAGCTGGGGTGAGTTGTGTTGCCCTGTAACCCAGCGGGATGTGGGGGTGTGAGGCCTGGAAGAGCTCGGCAGGAAGTAAGACGGTTTTGGAGAACTTTGGAAGGGTTTGTTAGGGACTTCGAGGTTTTCGGAGCATTTGTAGGACCTCCACGGTCTATTCCCAGGCCTCCCGAATTACTGCTAGTGTTCTTAGGTATCTCAAAAAGAGAACGAGGTGAGTGGGAGAAGGAGATGGTGGGATATCACGCGTCCTACTAGTGAGGGGGCTACTAGGTAGGATGGGAATACGGTATAGCAGCAGCGGAGATGGTGGCTCTGCTGCAGTAAGTCTTACAGGAGTGAGGTAAAGAGGATGGAGGGGGGGGGGGTTCTGAGTCGTTTTCTGAATTCCGCTTATTTCTGAAGTTTGTCGTAGTCATTTCCTAAGCAGCTCCAATTTTTTCTGAGCCAAAGCCGGGTAATGCCCCCGGATTCTCAATTTTCAAAATTCTATGTAAACTTCATATGGGACGCTGGGCCTGGTTCCCAGCACGTGCTGCTCCCCACAAATAGGCTGGAGCCTTTTTATTAAAAAAAGAAAAAAAAGAAAAAAAAGAAAAAAAAGAAAAAAAAAAAGCTGCCTATTTTAGTTGGTAAGGCACACAATTGTGCATTCAGGAGGTCTTGGGTTCAGTTCCCATGGGCCTCATGTATGTACCTGGGCATACTTGGTGCCCCCCGTCTAATCTATAGTTAGACCATTCCCCCCCGCGATCACCAGTGCTTCCTAAAGTTGTGCCGGTTAACGCGCCACAATTTTAGGAAATGTAACGGCCACTACAGGAGCGCCCAAATTCATCCAACTAGAAACGTTTCTACTCTATTTTTTTCCGCGGCCGATAGCTAGGCCAAGTACTAATGTTCGGAGGGGGACGGGTACCTGAGGGGAGGCACAGCTGCTGGCCACTGAGATGAAGCTCTGTCCTGACGCTACGGGCTGACCCCTGGCCGGTATGGCCCACCTGCTGGTGGGTGCAGCTCTGTTGGAAGCTTGAACAGGGGTCCATACGGCTGCTACGGGGGTTCCGTGGCTGCTGCGGGGTTCCGTAATAATACTGTAGCCATAAGAGAAACGGCCTGCAAAGGCCGCCCTGTCCAAATTTGACAGGTAATTGAATTGGTTGGTGGAGAATTAGGCCTGGACCCCACAGGACAAAATCGTGGAAAAGTCCTGTAGAAGATGGCCTGGAAAAACTTTTCAGGGAGTACATCGGAAGAAAATGGCCGTCTGGAAACTCGATTGTGGGAGGTTCCGGCTGTTTTCGGAGACCCCACCGCGTCGGAAAGGTTGTCCGGAAAAGTGGAGTTCCGTGTTTTCACCTTCGTATCGTGGTGTCGTGGCGGCAAGCGAGCATCTTGCGCCGGGATTTTGTGCCATTTCGAGAGGGTAGGGGGGGGGGCATCTCTCTCTTGGAAACTTCTTCTGGAAAGGGCTGGTCCAACCGTGGTCCGAGCCTGCACGTCCCATGGTCCTTCCGGTCGGTAGACGGACTTTCTGTTGTCACCCACAAACGACTCCCCGCCAGGACGACTGCTGGAGGGGCGTGGACACCCACGAAGTGGTCTGTCGAAGCAGGGGCGGACATCCATGACCACCGCGCGGTCCATTTGCAGTTTCCAGACTTTCCAAGCTCCTGGAAACTGCGTTTTCCAGCCTCTCCGGTGGGGTCCCGCCTTTCCCCAGGCGAACTTTTCCAGCCGGGTTTCCATGGAAACCCAAAGTTGGAAACATTTCTGGGGTTTTTCCTGTGGGGTCCAGGCCTTAGCCCCATGACCTTCTATTCTATGCAGGGGAAGACCCAGACCCGCAGATTCAGTTGTTGAGGGTTGGTTGGGGAGCAGCATCTGCTGGGAATTGGACCCAGCGTCTCAGAGGGGAACAAATGCTGAAAAGTTGAAATACCAGGGCCGTTACTTAGCTCCGGCTGAGCTTTCCTGAGCCAAAGACGATGAAAATGCCAAATGTCCGCTCAGCAGCCCACTTGCTGCAGTGCCACTGTAGTTGCTGCATTGCCTCTTCAGCCTGCCTTGGCCGCCTGATGAGACATGTGTACCTACCGAGGCTACCGTCGTCACCCGAATAGAACGCCCTGTCCTTATAGCCGTCTTTGGTCCAACTTGCAGCCTACATATAGCTATAATGACCGGGCGTTGTTTTCGGGCGAAGACGGTAGCAGCTATACCCCCTGACCGAGCTAACCTCGAGAGGAGCTTCCCATCACTCTCACACCAGAACCTTTTGACTTATTTCCGGACGGAAATGCAGTCAGATACATTCGTCGGAAGAGTGGTGGTGTGAGTACGCCCTCAGCCAAAGTTTTTCGTCTCATTTATCGCGGACGGGTTCACATGCGGACCAACGGGCCTAGCTCAATTGCTACACCCATGAATTGTTAGCATACAGACGTACTTTTTTTTTTTTTTTTTTTTTTAGACCTACTTCGAACCCACCAGAACTTGAAAAAAAAAGAGTTCTGTAAAAAAGAAAAAGAAGAGAAAGAAAGAAAAAAAAAAGAGTAAAGAAAAAGCATCTGCAGACGAACGAGGGTGGTCTCCCACTGTTCCACACAGTCCACCCAAAAAAAAAAAAAGGGTGGTCGTCGGTTCCGCTCGCCGATTTGCTGTGATTTTTTTTTTTTTTTTTTTTTTTTTGCGAGTTCGATGTGATTTGATGCGGCAGCCAGTATCAAAAGCAAGTGCAGCTCGTCTTCGATAGAACGAGTAGGACTTTTTCAAACTTCTCTGTGGCCGTAATTCTGGCCAGGTGCATCCAGGAGGGGCCGGGAAGGCGGTCATTTACATCCAGGAAGGTCCTACGAGTGTGAGTATACCCTGAAGCAACCAACCAACCTGTGAGTGAGTCTGCAAGAACCTGTGGAAACTTCCCACAAAAAAATAAAAATAAAAAAAATCCTGAGGAACCCATTGACAAGTCCGACAGTGGACCGTCCCCAAGTGGCGAGACGACTTCGCCTATTTATGTCTTCTGGCGAAGCGTGGGGCTAAATTTAGAACTTGTACATTCCCTTCTCATTCAGCCATACCAACTCCTTGGTTAACCTGCGATGAGAAAGAAGGGGAGGAGGGAGAGGGAGGGGAGGGAGACGAGGGAACTCGTTGCAGCTATCTCGTCCCTCAGTTCACGAGAGAGAGGAGGAGTAAGGGAGAGAGAGGAGCGAGGGAGGAAGGAGGAGTAAGGGAGGAAGTAGGAGCAAGGGGGAAAGCGAGAGGAAGGAGGGAGAGAGGGAGAGAGGGAGAGGGAGAGAGGGAGAGGAGTAACGTAAGAGTGCGTAGCGCTACCGATCAGCCACCGTAGTAGTGACTGTTGCGTTGCCCACTACAATCATGGCGTATTACAATAAGTCGCCCTGGGCGGGGTTGGAAGATAAGGGGAGATGGGGAGGAGGGGGAGGGGATATCCCCCCTTCCATGCGCACGAGCGAGAAGGCTCGTTCTCGGTGGCGGATTGGAGGTGCCTGCTTGCGGTACGTCCCCCGATGTCTTGCGCGATGGATGGTCCAGCGTTTTATGGCCGGCAAGCCGGGTCTGAAGCCATCGTCCGCTGCCTCGAAGCGATTCGGCTTGCAAACCGTTACTCTGGGCATTTGCTTCTTATTCAGCATGATGTACCTGATGAGCTTGTCGTCCTCTACTACGGTGGCGGGGCTTCTGGAAGTGCTGACTGCGCCGCTGGCGCATGCGGCAGGGCTTTTCGCGCTAGGCACGGAATCGATCCGCTCATTCAGATCACGCCACGTGGCGCCGGTAATGCAAGCTGTCATCAACGTGCTGATCGTCGTGTTCGCTGTGCAGTCCTTGGACACTCTCATCATGACTCTCATCTCGTTCTACCTCTCCAGCACCGGTTGGAGACCTCCGGTGGTCGCTCCTCTGAAGCAACCGCGCTCGTCGGATCCCGAGGATCCTGCGAGCGAGGCGGACACAACTTACCCGCGCGTGCTGATACAGATCCCTATGTTTAACGAGATAGAGTGCTACAAGATATCGATCGGCGCGTGCTCGCAGCTGGACTGGCCGCGGGAGAAGCTGGTCATCCAGGTGCTGGACGACTCGAACAAGGAAGAGATCAAGGACATGGTGAAGGAGGAGGTGAGCAGATGGCAGAGGCTGGGCGTTAACATCGACTACCGCCACAGGGTCGATCGGACGGGGTACAAGGGCGGGTCTTTGAAGGAAGGCATGAAGGCGCCGTACGTGAAGGAGTGCGACTTCGTGGCTGTGTTTGACGCCGATTTCCAGCCACGACCTGACTGGCTGCTGAGGACGGTGCCGTACTTCAAGGACGATCCTCGGCTCGCTCTCGTTCAGACCCGCTGGGAGTACAGCAACCAGTGGTGCAACCTGCTGACCCGCTTCCAGTTCATCAACATGTCGTATCACTTCCAGGTGGAGCAGCAGGTCATGGGAGCCACAATGGGCTTTTTCGGCTTCAACGGAACTGCGGGCATCTGGAGGATCGCGGCCGTGAACGGCTGCGGAGGGTGGGACGTGCGGACCACCGTCGAAGACATGGACATCGCTGTCCGCGCGCACATCCACGGGTGGAAGTTCATTTTCCTCAACGACGTGCGCGTGCCTTCTGAGCTGCCTCAGACCCTGGAAGCGTACACGCGTCAGCAGCACAGATGGCATGCTGGGCCGATGAACCTGTTCCGGCTGCTGTTCAAGGACATCCTCAGGTGCAAGACGCTGACGCTGTGGAGCAAATTCAATCTCATCGTTCTCTTCTTCTTCGTGAGGCGTCTCCTGGTCCCCACTGTCAATTTCCTGCTCTTCGTCGTCCTCCTCCCCCTCTCTCTCTTCGTCCCCGAGGCTGACATCCCTCTCTGGGTCACCTACACTTTCCCCATGTTCTTGTCCTTCTTCAGGATGCTGCTGTGCCCACTGCTCTTCCCCTACATGTTCCCCTACCTCTTCTTCGAGAACACTATGGTCATGACGAAGCTCAGTGCCAACATCCAAGGGCTGTTCGGGTTCGGCCGCGTGAATGAATGGAAGGTCACGGAGAAGGTTGGGGCCTTGGCCAAGCCTGGCGATGTGGTGGTCCCCACCACCATGATGAAGAAGAAATCCATGAAGTTCTTCAAGGCACAGCTTTTCATGTCCTTGTTCCTCCTGCTGGCTGCCGTCCAGAGTCTCGCGATCGAGAGGGGCATCCACTTCTACGTCTTCTTGTTCCAGGCCCTGACCTTCTTCGCATTCGGATGCGATCTGCTTAGCGAACACAGCTAATGTACTCCAACTTGAATGAATGATTAGTGCTAGCACAGCCTAGCAGCATTTTTTTTGTAGACTGTGGTGCCACTGGGTAATTAACGCTTGCAGCAATGTTACGTCCAATATTACGTCCATTTCGGTCATTGTCAAAGATGTTTGGGACTTCGATGTCTGATGTCAGTCGGTCACTGACTGCGGTGATGATAAACACGTAGTACGTATGGTTACTTGAACTTGCCTTCATTTCGGTGAGGGAGACCAGGTTCATTGTTCCGAGAGCCTGCTCCTCTTCAAATTTGAAATTTCAAATTTCGAATTTCAAATTTGAAATTTCAAATTTCGAATTTCAAATTTGAAATTTCAAATTTCAATCCAATTGGAATTTGGAGCAGACTGCGCAACATTTGGAATCAGCAGGAGGGAGTGAAGGTAGGGAAAGGTGAAGTGTGTAGTTTCCTTGATTCGTTGTCTTGCTTGCACAAATTTTAATCCCTTAATCAGGGAAGAGAGGACTCTCACGATTTCTCGTTCAGAAAGAATGATATGATCGGCATTAACCGCCTTGAGATATACTAAGGAATGAAATAGAAAAAGAGATATTATATCCATCCAACCAACAGCCGACCGCAGGATTGTAATCATCGCGGATTTTGCATTTGTTCGTCCGCCGGAATCCACCGTTAGGCTCCGCACTCCTGAGAGCCCGCTGTAGGTGGGTAGGCTTAGGCTTTTTCCGCTGTAGGTGGGTAGGCTTAGGCTTGTTTTTACTTACCCTTTTTTTTCCTCGAAGCAAGTGATGACAGCGTTGGAGATATGAAGGAATGAATTGGGGGGAAAAAAAAGAAAAAAAAGGAGGTGTGGCTGTGGAGCAAGTGGCCTAGAGCAGTTGGTGAAGCGTGCCAGTCGCATTCAGGAGGTCGTGCGTTCAATCTGCATGCAACCTGGGGCATGCTTGGTGCGAACTAACATAGATAGTTCAATTTGGCTTGCTGCCCCAGTGCCCCCCGGTCGGTTTTTTTGGATTAGGGTCCTTAGCCACCATGTGTGTGTGTGTGTGTGTGTGTGTGTGTGGTCATATCCGCTATACACTCTCGTGGGTGTGTGTGTGTGTGTGTGTGTGTGTGTCTGTGTGTGTGGTCATATCCGCTAAACACTCGTGTGTGTGTTTGTGCGTGTGGTGCGTGGGAGAGTGTTGGTCTTAGACACTCTTGTTACTCATGGGGGGAGGGGGGAGGGGGGAAGGGGGGGGCCGGGAAGGCTACTGGCAAAATGCTTAGTTGGCTGCACCCTACTCCCTGACTACTGCCGATTATGGTGGGGGCCAATGTGCATCCCCTAGATTGTGAAAGGTAGGTATGCTTGCAGGGGGTCGCCTGACAGACTCCGAGTAGTGCAGGTAGGTAGGAATAAGGCGAATTTGAGAGACGAATAAAGCTCAGTTAAGAGCAAACGAGAAAATAAGTTGGTACTGTAGTAGTTTACAGCAGGAAGAAGCTCATAAAATCTGGTCATATTCCAGCATGAGCGACCAAGCACAAGGATGTTGAAGGAACCAAATCGACATAATTCTTTTACTGCCTCTCTCTCTCTCTCTCTCTCTCTCTCTCTCTCTCTCTCTCTCTCTCACACACACACACACACACACACACACACACACAGATACAAATTATCTCAAATGGTCCGTCTTTGCTTTGGATCTTTTCCTCGAATTTCCGTTTTCCTCGTGCTTCCTCTCATATTGTGTCATCCCTCGCCGTCATGGTCAATTGTCATTCCATAGTCGGGATGTCGTGGTGATGTTTTTCAATGGCCTGAATGGAGACGAGGGAAGGAGGATGCGAGAGAGATCTGACACTTCCCTGGTACTTCTCTGAAGCTTCTCTGGTACTTCTCTGACACTCTAAGCCATTGGCCGCAGGGGTCACAGGAACACAACGTTCCAAGTTTCAACCAAAGCGTGCTGCTCTGCTTTCTAGCAACTCACTGCACAGTGACTGCAGTGCATTGGCATGGCTACCCTTCAGGCTTCAGCCACATGGGCTGTATACAGAGTCCTCCCCAGTGCTCGGCCGAGCTATCGGCCGCGGCGCTTTACCGTTAACGCGCCTTTAGGGCTTCGGGGTACCGGACCTCAATGGCTGGAAGCGCCAGCCGAAACAATTTCAAAACGGTACCCCGGCGCTTCGGCGAAAATCGGCGCGCAGGGGCATTCCAGGCTCGGCATCGATAGCTGGGCCAAGCACTGGTGGTTTTAGTTTTCCTTTACCCTGGCCCCCGTCAGCTTCATACTAGTTCATACTACATAGTCATTGTGGGAGACACCTCTCTCCAGGATGATATGAGCAAGACGTAGTGTAGTCTGATTCCTTTTGGTCTTCAAGTTGTTGTAGAAGTTTGTAGTCTTTGTAGGTATACATGGCCGAGTGCCGAGGGTGACTTTCAGTCTCTCATATTATGTCTAGAATCCAGCCTCGACGACAACAACGTGGGCTTCAAAAAAAAAAAAGGAAAATAAATGAAAAAAAAAAAAGCCTTTGTAGGTTTACAGTTCTGAGAATGAGGGAGTGCTCCCCCCCCTACCCCCTGCTGAGGTTTTTGTTTCTCTTGCGGGTACCAAGTAGTAACCCGACTGACACTCGGGACGCCCCGGAATAGATGGGGCAGCATTCGGGCCCCTGTGACTCTGAGTGTGTGTTTTTTTTCAAAAAAAGAAAGAGAATGAGGGAGTGAGATGGAGTCCATGGTCTTGGTCTGCTGGTTAGTCGGTTGTGGGGCCAAGATCGGAAGGTAAGGGGCCCAGCGGGGGAAGGTAGATGCATCAGGGGACCAGGGGTCAAGCAGATCCTTGATAGTAGGCTAAGTAGGGTGAATGAATACTGAGGATGGATGCATGGCATGTGTCACGCTTGATAGGGGGGTCCAGCGGTTTAAGAACATGTTCCAAGTTCCAACACCTGGATGTATCAGGTCTTGGAGACCTGGATGTATGTGGACTTGGCTGGAGACCTGATACGTCCAAGACCTGATACATCCAAGACCTGAACTATTGGGAGAGGTGTTGGAGCGTGTTGCTTGCAATAGTTGGTGGTTAAGTCCATGAGATGATGAGAGGATGGACTCTATCCTGTAGGTCACAGTAGGTGAACTGCCATGCCATGTGGTCAAAATGGACATTTTTTTATTTTGTGAACGAAATTCGATTTTGAAAATTGAAACAGAGTTTTTTTGGCCAAAAACTTGTCCAAATTCGCTGCTCCTGAGGGTCCGGCGTTCTTAAAACGCTGGACCCCCTGGATGTACGTGGACTTAGCTGGAGACCTGATACATCCTAGACCCCTGGATGTATCAGGTCTCCAGCTAAGTCCACATACATCCAGGGGGTCCAGCGTTTTACGAACGCAGGACCCTCAGGAGCATCGAACTTGCACGAGTTTTCGGCCAAAAACCTCGGTTTCAATTTCGTTCAAAAAATAAAAAAAGGGGGTAACTTCAGTAGAGTCACAAAACAGAGTTATAATTGCACTATGGGGCAAGGTACAGTTCACAGTTTGCAATTGCACTTGCCAATGGTGGGTTATACCCGGACTGCAGCAATTCAAACAGTATCTTTTACTGAACCTGCCAGACGTGCCTCTCGAATTGTGTCATCTTGTGTTAATGAATTGTTAAAACATTTGCAAGACTTACTAGTAGGATCACATTTTAATTTGCGTAGTATAGATCCATCGATTCCTTTTTTATATAGGATTAATAAACGCCTCCGGGCCGACAAGCAGCTGGTGTTCGGATCTTTTGATGTCAAATAAATGTTTTGCCAGCTACCACACTCTGCTATTATCTCGGCCGTTGAATGGGCGGTGAGTTTGTTTGAGGAGAAAGTTTTTTTCAAATTCTTGGTGCAAGTAAGGAATAATTATGTCCGCCTTTGTAGGATCGCCGCTTGTCTGACAGGATGGAAGTCGGTAAAATTCTCTACTATGATCGAATTCGTGGAAATTCAATATGATCTACGGGATGCCCCTTTACTATTGCCATCGGGAAAGTAGTTAAGCAGGAGCTTCGGATTCCTATGGGTAAGTCGTCGAGTCCTGCGCTGGCATGTTTAATGTGTGTGCGTGTGCACAACAAATACACCCCGCGGTCGTGATGCGTCCTTGTATATGGGTGAAGGCTTGTATATGGGTGAAGGCTACTAGTTGACGATGTCTCAAATCTCTCTTGATCTTCGTCAAATATCAGAAGTTGAAGGAAAAATCGAGGACAGGGCTGTGTAAATTTTGAACAGATTTGAATCCGCTGCATATCCGCATGTTACGACAAACATTTGACCCTGGAGAAAACAAGCAGTGCCTCTCAGTGGCCGTACTTTGAGCTGCAACAACTTTTGGTGGCCCAGGATGGCCCGGGATCCACCATGCGTCTATTGTCAGGCTCTTCTGAATCATAAGAACCAGGAAGATTTGCTGAATGGACGGAAGATTGCTTTTCAAAACATGCAGGATTTTCGCTTTTACTGTGGGAAGTCACAAAAGATGGTCGTAACTGCTTCATTCTTGCATCGGGCTATGCCGATGGGAACCTTCCCTGCCAACGAAGCCCACTTTCTCTGGTCCTTGAAATTGGAACTCATGCTTTGAGATTGCCCCGAGCAATTTTTCGACCAGGCCGTGATTAACTTTAACATCAAGTTCGGAGGGGTCTGGAACAACTGGGTTCGTTGTTTTGCTCAGTGGGGCCTGTAATTCTACTGGGCCCTTTGCTTCACCAGGCCGGTGACGAACTATTTTCTGTGATCGCGAGACTTTCTGCGCAAAGCTGCTTGGGGAGATACGACGGGTCGGACGGGCGAACTGTGGGAAGATGGGTCGGGCGGGCAAATTGCATGAAGGCCCTCGTTTCTTTCGTTTTTGTTGGAAGTTGTCGGATCGGTGTCGGGAAAATCCCGTGCCAACGGTTGGGTCAACGCGCCATGACGGGCGCAAAAAATAACTGTACCGTAGCTTCTTTCTTGTTCTGCTGTGAGCACTGGGGATTTTTGGCGCGATCATC